TTCCCCTAGACAGTGATAGTTTCTTCTCATATAGGAACTGATTGGGACTGAGCTGAAGACTGGAAGGGCGTTCTCTGCACATCTCTAATGTTTATTCTCTGTGTATCTGTCTCCTCTCTGATGCTCTGCCCTGTGACTCTAGCCACTTTGGTCTCCTTGGATTCCCAGCTCCATCTCCTCAACTCAAGGAGACTCCGTGGCTTTCTGAGAGTACCTTCATCCTTTGTCATAGCTTGGAACTCTGCCCAGATAGTAAGCTGGGGCAATCAATGGTAGGGCTCACCTAATTTGTTTCTAATTTCTTAGAGATCACTTTTTTTAATTACCCAGTGTATAATGTCTTAAAAAACATTGTTCCATACATTTTGTTCATTTTTAAAAATTTTTAACCAAGAAGTTAACTTTGGTCCCTGTTACTCCAACTTGGACAGAAGCAGAAGTCCAAAACAAACAATTTTTATGTCATTTGATATTTTAGTGTGTTTACTTCTATACAATCTTAAAACTATATGATAATTTGAATTGCCTTGAGAATGACTAAAGGTCTCCACTTCTTGACACTGGGGTTTAGTTGTAATTAATGAACATTTTATCAAAACTTTTTTTCCGTTAATTGGAGAATTTCTTAAAAGACTATTTTATTTAGTCTGTGTTTTACTCAATGAAATAAAAAAGGGAATTCTGGATGTCCAGGGAAAAGTTTTTCTAGCTATGGAACTGTGAATGATATCACAAATATTCTAAACAGTTACGGTTTTTTTCCCCCTGGTGATTAGGAAGGTCCAAAATCATGCACATACACGTGTGCATACCTGCATAGACACACATAAACATAAGACATCTGGAGTTATCTTTCCGTTCTGGTAAGTCTCAGAAAAGGGTCCAGAAAGGCACTATAAGTCATCTCCATTGATAAGAAAAATGGAAACTGTGGTAATTTCAGCTGTCTTGGTCATTATCATTGTTGACTGACTAATAATGAATAAGAGAGTTTAAATTTTTGATGAGAAATTATTTTAGGAAACAGAATGTAGATGCTGCCTGTTAGCAGCAGACAGATTTGTTGCCATGAACCGGTAATCGTTACTTTAAGGAAAATCAACCGAGCAGCCCATGTACTAAACAAATATTTACAGGGGTACACTGGAGTTTAAAGCCTCATAAGAATAATTTTCAGCAAAGACATCATGTCTAGATATGAAATAAAATAATAAACAGGTACATGTTGTAAGTTTATCTATATAGACTTCTATCAAACTGCATTTTATTTATCTTTTTAACTTTAAAAAAGACAAATCATTGTCCTACTGACACTTGGTGTTACTGTTCAAAATAAAGTTGCTGCCAATGCCAAAAAGATTGTCTGGTTCCATGCAACTCAGCTATTGAATGAATGCAACTCAGCCATCACAAATGAATGATAAAAATAAATATATTAATTAATATTTTTCAACATATTCCAAAAATATGTCATGCCACTACGGGAATCTTTTAAAAATATCATATTTTTTACATGAGAAAATATTAATCATGTTACATGCCACTAAAATTGGTCTGTTTATAAGCTCATTCAATTAGTTATGTCTCTTAAATATTCATTCAACAAGCAGTAATTGAGTACACATGGAAAATTTTATCACCCACAAAAATATTGACATGCCACATTAGTCTCTAGTAGAAGTTTAGAAAATTGGCTAAAAAGTCGGAAGCCACATTCAGAAAGTGTGGGTTCAAATCCCAGCTCCTTTAGCTCCTTTAATAGCTGCAGAATCTTGTGAATTGTCTTAAATCTCTGTCTCTGTTTTCTCTTCTCTTAAATAGTAAAATGAGATGTGCATAACGTACTTAGAATTGCATTCTCCACAAAATACTCATTAAACCTGAGATCTTATAACTAATCATACTTCCTAAGTGATTAGCCTGTATCTATAAGAACAAAAGTACATTTACTGAATTGCTGTCCCCAAACTTCTGAAATACAGATTGAATAACCAGGCATTTTCAATAATGCTTACTTTTATGACTTATGATGTTTTCTCAAAGTATAGCTCTTGGATTGGAAAGTGAAGGAACATTCCAGTTCAACCAAACAAATCTTCCTCAGAAAGCTGACACATCTGCCTCTTTTTAGAACTAACAAGAATAAATGTTAATGGGAGTTTTCAAAGGGAAAGCTGAGCACCATGAAGGAAAGTTATGAAAATAATGTTAACTCATCTAGTGACAGAGTGAATTGGTGTGCCAACAAGTACCTTGAGTGAAAACAGAAAAGTGGAAATCATAACATGTCCTAACATTTAGCTCTACATGTTCTTCTAGAGTAGAAAGAAATAATTTTTAAAGCACAGGCTGTTATTTTAATGGAGTTGAAAATTCTTGAAGTTGACAGTAGAAACAATAAAAATCAAAATTAGATTGAGTATTTGAAAGAGTAGAAAAACCTTGCTATTAATGGAAATAGAACCTGTTTATTTTATGGGACAGTGCTGCT